ATTCTCTTATTTATTTCTTTAAAAATCCAGATGTTACAGTTTTCTAATAATGTCCGTACTGAAATAATTTTTTTTTAAAAAGAAGTCCTTACTGAATTAATAAATTTGTTCTTAGTTGAGAAGCTAGTATTTTGAATCTGAATAATGTTTCTTCTTCAATGGAGAAGCGTGAACATTTATAACCTTGACTGCATATCATGAACGTTATGTTATCTTAAATTTGTGTTCTATAAAAAAGTTAACTCATATTAGACAATATTCTTATATTTTTCAGGGTTTTACCACCAACAATGAGAAAGCTCTGGAGCAACTTTTTTGTGATGACGAGAGTTCTCAAAAAGGTGTTGCGTGCTTGAACGAGTTGGCTATCCGTGTTGGCACAGTTTTTGCATCATTGAGGGTATTTTTTTGTGCTTAAAAGGAAATAGGCATCCTTGATTATGTCATTATTTGTGTTAGTAGTGGTCATGGTTTTAGTGCTGGTTTTGGGGGAGGGATGAAAAACAGATATATTTGATAAATGAAATTTACAAAGACTACTGGCTTAAGCTTGATTTACCTTCTGAAGCGGTGGATTTATTTTATGTTGCAATTACATCATACTGTTCAAATCTTCACCAACTTTTTCCTTCTCCAGGAATTCCCTTTTGTTCGGTACCAAGCTGCCAGGTCCTTAGATGCAACTACAATGACGACTTTCCGTGACCTCATTCCTACAAAAGTTGCTGCTGTTGTCTATGACTGTATTATGAAATATAAGAAAACGATCCCCAATTTTCCTCAATCAGAAACGTGTGAGCTGTTGATTCTTGATCGATCTATAGATCAGGTATATAACATAATAATCTGCTACTTATAAATCACTTGTGATTCAGCTTCTTCTTTCTTCTTTTTTGTGGGTTTGGTTCATAGTGAGAATCTTTTATTTTCCCCGCTAGATTGCTCCTGTTATACATGAATGGACATATGATGCAATGTGCCGTGATTTGCTTAGTATGGAGGGGAATAAATACGTTCACGAGGTAAGTTTAGCATTCCTTTATTTGATTCTGACCTCATATTTGTTCTTTTAGGTCATCTGTGCATTAAGATATTTTGCTGTTCAGGTTCCAAGCAAAGTTGGAGGTCCACCAGAGAAGAAAGAGGTTCTTTTGGAGGACCACGATCCAGTTTGGCTTGAGCTTCGCCATGCCCACATTGCAGATGTATGCCCTTGCTTGCAGCATTGTTTTTGACATTATTCTCTGTTTGCTTTTTTTTCATAAATGGTTTTTTTCAGGCGAGTGAACGGTTGCATGAGAAGATGACCAACTTTGTATCTAAGAATAAGGCTGCACAAATCCATCAAGGTTCAAGGTTAGCACTGTTGTGTTTGCTTGCTTTTGGGGGTGTGCTTGGCTGTGTTGGTATGAATATGAACTTAGGAATCAGGTATTCAGGTGTCACTCTAATGGAAGATATTCCTAAATCCCAGAGCTATTTTTTGTTATGAAACGTTTTTCATACTTCTACCTAAGGTTTCAGATGTCTCTCATCTATCGTTAATTCCTGGGGTCAACGTTGTGCTGGTTGCATCAAGTGTTCGCGAAGTATTTGCAAAGTTGTGTTTCTATTGGTGATGTGGGATGGTCTGCTTAAATCATATACTTTCGTCATTGTTTTAATAGAACTTTTTTCTTTCCATCCATCATGCCACCGATGATTGGATGCTTAAAATCTTTTCAATTAGATTTCCATATAAGCATAATTTGTTAGGATTCTGGATGCAGTTTTTCCTCTGTTTGTTGTTGTGAATGAGACTTCCTAATCTCTTAAGTTTGTGGGTTAGGAAGCTTTTTGGGGATGAAGAGGCGTATAATTGAAGACCTTCCAGACTCAATTATTGGTTACGGAAATCTTCATTATTTGCTTTTTCTTTTTTCTTTTTTGATTTTTTTTGAAAAAAAAAATAGTTGTGCTTTGCCCTTTTATCAATTTTCATGCTCATCGAATGAAAAGGAGAAAAGGGAATTCTTTTTGCTTATCAAATTCTGGACTCTGGTTTCTTTTATACTATCGACCAAGCATGGGGTACTTGTATGAGCTAATTTTCCTGTGGTCTGTTAGCTATTCGGTACTAAAACAAGCCTACTTTACGATGATGTCGCATTTCTGACCTATATACTTTCGGCTGTGCTATAGAAATAGTAGTGAACTCTCCACAAGGGATTTGCAAAAGATGGTTCAAGCATTGCCACAATATAGTGAACAAATTGACAAGCTCTCTCTACATGTAGAGGTTAGTTTCTTGTAGAAGAACCAAATGTTGTATGTTGCTTTTCCTCTCCTTAGAGCAAACAGTTTTAGCTTATAGATGGAGGAGAGAGGAGATGCTATTTTATTTTTATTTTTTCAAAAAAACAATCAGCTGAGAACTTTGCTGAGTCAAGCAGCCTTAGAAACTGGAAAGTATTCCAGAAAGGTGCAAAAAGAATCTTCATTTCCTCAACAATATGTTCAACATCTCAAAGAGTAGGAAATAAATTCTGAAGATTTTGTAGGGTACTGACTTTGAGTTTATTAATTCAGATTGCAGTAAAACTAAACAAGCTTATCAAGGAACAAGGGCTTAGAGAACTAGGACAAATTGAGCAGGATCTTGTTTTTGGAGATGCAGGAACAAAAGAAGTGATAAAATTTTTGACGACCAATGAGGTGATTACTGAAACTATATCAATGTTTTCAAGTACGTCACTCGGGATACGAATATGAAACCTACATTAAACATCTTGGCAGGATGCAAGTCGTGAAAGTAAGTTACGGTTGTTGATGATTCTTGCAGCCATTTATCCCGAGAAATTTGAGGGCGAGAAAGGTCAAAATTTAATGAAGGTTAGTAGTGTTCGCCCCACTCTGAAGAAGGAAAGGACAACCTTTTCAACCAACCAGCTATTTAGTTAATTAAGTATTTATCATTTTACATGATTAACGAAGATATTGCCGTTGTTTATTCTTTGTACTTCACATCTTGACGACGGTTAGTGCTTGACAGTTAGCAAAACTACCACCGGACGATATGAATGCAGTTACCAACATGAGATTACTTGGTGCCGCACCTGATAGCAAAAAAAGCTCATTAGGGTCATTTTCTTTGAAGTTTGATATTCATAAGGTCAAACTGTCTATCTCTTAGCTTCTTTAGTTTATTTCTTTTATGTCTGAAAATACTTTTGTCATCAGAAGAAGCGTGCAGTTAGGAAACAACAAAATGGTGATGAAGAAACATGGCAATTATCGCGGTTCTATCCCATCATAGAGGTAAGTTCATGGTCAAACTTATATGTTCAATCCATATATGCAATTATTAATAGGTTGTATTGGGCAACTGCAAACTAATTTCCAGGAACTAGTGGAAAAACTTAGCAAAGGTGAATTATCCAAGGATGAATATCCATGTCTAAATGACCCCAGTCCAAGTTACCATGGACCGTCTCATACAGCAACAGTTCAGCCACCTCCAGCTGCTCATTCAATGAGATCAAGACGGACTCCAACGTGGGCTCGACCTCGTAATTCCGATGATGGATACTCAAGGTGCATTATTTCAAGTTTGGTTTGTTTAGTTGCCACATTATGCTTCTTCTCAAATGCTTTTCTATTTTCGTTGTTGAATCATTGCGGCGTATTGTTTGGGCGGAGACTATATACCTGAACCTGTAACAATCTCAAGATTAGGATATTTTAACCTGACATATTTTCTGTACGATGCGTTGTTGTATGTTTAACGATCTGTCTTGGACAGTGATTCAATACTGAGGCATACATCTAGTGATTTCAAGAAGATGGGGCAGCGTATCTTTGTGTTTATTGTAGGTGGAGCAACTAGGTCCGAGGTAAATTTTGTTCTTGTGTAATTTGAACAGCTTGTCATTCATGCTTCTCTTTAGTTACTTGTCTGGATGCATAAATTATATCTTTTTAACCTTCAGCTTCGAGTTTGTCACAAGCTTACAACAAAGTTGAAGAGAGAAGTAGTTTTAGGTTCAACAAGTATTGATGATCCTCCACAATTTATTACGGTATTTAGCTTCAACCTTTTATATTCAGATTTGCAGTTGTTTTCTGCCATTCATGTGGCACCCATCATTTCTCATTAAATATTGTCTTTAATTGGTCCAGAAGCTTAAGATGTTGACTGCAGATGAGCTCTCATTGGATGATCTCCAGATATGATTAGCAGCAGCTGCCTCTAGTGTGCTCTTCAGCACTTTGCAACCCGTTTGTTGGTCGGTTTTTTTTTTGTGGCTATTTCAGCTTTAGTCTTGTTGCTAGTTTGTCATGATCTTGTGATGAACTGTTGGCGGTAAAAGTTGTGCATAGTGCCATAATGTAACATGTTTTACATTCACATATTGTAACATTTCTTAATGGGAAAGATAAGATTGAAACTGTACCTTATCAATTATACACATCAGCTAAGACCCCTTGGTCGAGACCGCTCATAGTGTATTATCTCTCATGAAACTTAGGCTTCTCAGCGCTCTGAAATTCAATGCCGAATTCAGAGGTGGTTGTTAACCATTAACTAGCAACAGATTTCCTTGGGCTTTCTATCCTGCACAGCCTCTGGTTCTCTTCTTGATTTCATGTATTGTTTCTTCCCAAATTCTCAGTCCTCTTTCCAACCCCAAAACATATAGAATTGCAAATGTAAAGTGTATAAAATCAAGTATTGATTTCTAGCAAGCAAGCCGAAAAGATAAGTCAGTTGAGAAACAAACTTTTCGGTAATGTCATTTCATGAGAAGGATTCATCTGGATTACTCAAGGAGAACAAAAAAACTTTGCAAGAAAATAATCGCAGCAACTTAATACCTCAAGGAACAATTGAAAGTCGAAATACAAACCTATAACACAATCATTTTTTAAATGAGGGGAAGGGGTTATATTCTCAACCAATTTCCATTAAAATAAACGAGTGCTATAAAAAAATAAAAAACAAGTAATACAACACAAACAAGTAAATTTCCAATGATAAACACGTTAAAAATTGAAAATTTTACAAACCATATAATATAGTATCCCATGCCCATGGCTATGGCTACCTTAAGAAATATTTTAATCTAATGTTTTTAGTCACAAATGAATGACACATTACCCTTCAACCTCGGGAAGTTTTAAAATCCCAATGTTTTTAATAAATGGACAGCCCTTATTGGGAATCATATTATTAAACTCAAGCAAACAGAAAAAGAAAATTCTTCTTGCATTAACCTTAGGCAAGGTTTGAATGAGAGATCGAAAGATGGAAGTAAAACTAGAATCATGGAAAGGAATAGCAGCTCAACCTCAGAATCCCTCCAAAGCAGCAAAGAGGTTAGAATTGACGTAATCGTTATCCACCAAGCTCACCAAGTAATAGCTGCTCTGTATCTGAAACAAATAGTAAAGTGCTTTGTCATCGAGATAGTAATCTTCCACAAAAACTTCTTAAGCTTCCATCACTATATTAAGATTAACCTTTTATGGATAAAACAGCATTTCCTGATTAAGCCTTTCGACAACATAAATTTCGATTCAAAGCATTGCCATCACTTAATAATCCACACTTGTCTACTAAGGGGTGATATCAGGTGAAAAAAGGACGGGGAAATTAATTGAGAACTGAAAAGATACAAGTGTACCAACCTCTTCGAGAAATTTTCGGGACAGGTCGCCCTCGGGGTACAAGGAAGCCCATCCCCTCGACCAAATCTCAAATGCCTCATCTTTCCAAACTAGAAAGCTGGCAGGATCGACGACAGTTGGCTGGACGATCTCTTTGGCTGGGAAAACTCCCCATGTTACAGCATTCACATCATTTTGAGTGATGTTGGATACCCAAATGCCTTCCTTATTCACTGCCATGTAGGTTAGAGATGGAAGGCCCCTGCATTTGTCAACAACAGCATCCAAGTTTTCCCTGGAACAGAAAAACTCGATGTATGCCTTTTGATAAACGTAACCTCCTGATCCACCCCATCCTGCAAATCATTATTAATCATCCCAACACTGATCAGATGACTAAACAAGCATTCTGCCGCCATTGCCACAAACATCATAAGTCAAAACTGAATTGATCACTACAAAACTAAACAAATAAACAAAAGATGCACAGGGGAAGATACCTCCCCTCTCTAGACAGGCGACTCAGATCCCTTGCATACAAATGATTGTTTTGTTAGAGTGTTATCTATTTATGGTTAAAATTTACACTTCTATCAAGATATCATGCCTAGTTGTTCAATTAGAGGAACAACGTGTTCCACTACATATTAATATCCAACTTTTTGGTTGTAATTCGACAAAAAGGAACCAATTGCTAACCGAAATTGCCCTCCTTGATCAGATGGAGGAAACTGGCTCCATCACACTATTTCAACACACACAAAAAGCTCATGAAAGCAGAACTTATTTCGTTGGCAGTAACTGAAGAGCAATCTTGGAGACAAAAATGCAAAAAACGATGGTTAGAGGAAGGTGACATAAACTCCAAATTTTTCCATCGTATCATGGCTACAAAGAAACAAAAGAGTACCATCATGGAAATTCTATCCACACAAGGCATATAAGTTTAGTAAACGAAGATGAAATTGTATCAGAATTTGTGTCCTATTACACGTCCATATACACAAAGGACAATGCCCTCTGTGAATTTCCTCACGATCTTGACTGGAGTCCTATTGATCAACAGCAAGCTGCCTCCCTCGAGGTCGCTTTCACTGAAGAAGAGGTGGGGAAGGTGATTCAGAATCTGGGCTCTGACAAGACTCCAGGACCGGATGGTTTTACCTCAGAATTCTTTCAGAAATGTTGGAACTTTATGAGAGCTGATATCATGAGAGTATTCCATGATTTTTTTCGAAACAGAGTTATTAATGGCAACCTGAATGAAACATACATATGTTTGATCTCAAAGAAACTGGATGCTCGCACTGTTGCAGACTTTCGTCCCATAAGCCTCACAACCGGTCTATATAAAATCATAGCAAGGGTATTATCAGAACGCCTTAAAAAGGTTCTCCCCTTCACAATAACTGGGCAACAAACAGCTTTTGTTGAGGGGCGACAAATTCTTGATGCATCCCTCATGGCCAACGAACTCATTGATGAATGGGAAAGAAAGAAACAAAAAGGTGTAGTCATTAAACTTAACATGGAAAAGGCCTTCGACAAGGTTGATTGGACTTTCCTCGAAAACATTCTTGTGGCAAAAGGCTTCGGCCCAAAATGGCAAAGGTGGATTAAAGGATGCATCTCATCCACAAATTTCTCCATCATCATCAATGGAAGACCGGGAGGGAAAATTTATGCCACACGGGGCCTGGGACGAGGAGACCCACTATCCCCTTTTCTCTTCATCATGGTAATGGACTGTCTTAGTCGCCTACTGACAAAGGCAGAATACGAAGGGCAGATCAAAGGTTTTCAGATTGGTAATGAAGATTGAGCATAAACCACCTTCAGTTCGCAGATGACAATCCTCTTTTCTGATTTGGTGAATGTCTCTTCCATAAAAAACATGATTGAGACGGTAAAAACCTTCGAAGAATTCTCTGGACAAAATATCAATCTCCAAAAAACAGAGATCATGGGCATCAACATTAGCACAGAGATCATTGAAGAATTTGCTAGCATATATGGTTGTAAAAAGGGAGAATGGCCGAATATGTACCTAGGATTACCTCTAAAAGGAAATCACAAATCATTTTCCCTCTGGAAGATTATTATTGAGAAAATAGAAAGAAGGTTGTCAACATGGTCATCACGTTATACTTCAAAAGGCGGAAGACTTACCCTAATACAAGCCACATTATCCAACCTCCCTACCTACTATATGTCTCTATTTGAAATGGCACAAAAAGTGGCCACGGATATAGAAAGACTTTTCAGAAATTACTTGTGGAAAGATAGCACACACCTTGTTCGTTGGAATATTATAAACCTCCCAACAGAATAGGGAGGTCTCGGTCTTCTCTCGATAAGGAAGAAAAGCTCTCCTCGCCAAATGGATATGGAGATATCATCCTGAAGAAAAGGTCTTATGGCGAAATCTTATAAAGGCTAAATATACTCCTACATCAAACAAAGATCACCTCCCTCCATCTTCTACAAAAGGGCCTGGGAAGTACATAAAGAAACATCAAAATCTCATCACCCACCGAACTCGCCATAAGGTGGGGAATGGGGGAAGCACATCATTTTGGACCAACCCATGGATTGAAAACACCACACTAGCTTTGAAGTACCACTTTTGTACAGGCTTTCTCACAACAATAAAGCCACGATTAAAGAAACGTGGAATGTTGTCAACAAATTTTGGGACTTGAAGCTTGGTAGGAATCTAAAGGATAATGAAGCAATGGAGTGGGCCGAATTAAGCCTTGACCTTGCCCCTGTGGTATTGTCAAACAAAGAAGACTCACTAACTTGGCTCCCCAGCGCTGACGGGGTCTTTTCTACAAAATCCTTGATGATGGACATGGGGGAAAAAGTAAAAGCAATAAATCTCACGCTAGCAAAGACAATATGGAAAGGACATCAACCTAAAAAGGTGAAGTTCTTCCTTTGGGAAATAGCGCATAAAGCCATCAGCACAAGTGAAAATCTTCAAAAAAGAATGCCTTACATCACTCTCTCTCCAAATTAGTGTCCACAATGCAAGAAATCAAACGAATCACAAAGTCACTTGTTTATGCAATGCACATACATTGAAAATTTATGGACAACGATTCTCAATATATTTGGATGGCATCTCACATTTCCTAGGGAGGTAAAGGAATTTTTGGAGATGGCCTTAACGTACCACCCTTTCAAGAACGCAAAAGCCCTATTATGGAAAAACCTCATCATGGCTTTCTTTTGGAATTTGTGGAAAGAAAGAAATCAGAGAATATTTGCAGAAACGACACAGACCTACATAAACTTTTCGACAATTTTGTTTACCAAGCTATATCTTGGTGTAAACGGTCTAATATTTTTACTTCCTATAGTTATACCTCCCTCATTGCAAATTGGGAAGGTGTTTTGTAAACATCATGGATTATACATCCCTCTTGTAAATTTCACTCATCAATGAAATTGTCTCTTATAAAAATAAAATAAAAAAAAATTCCAACTAGTTCCAAAGTGGGTAAAGGCCAAAGAATTCAATTTTAGTAGGATACTGTCAACACGCTTTTCATCTCTTCAAATAACCATTAGTAGTATTTGAGAGATAGGTCCAACAATGGTTTCTGATTTTCAAGAGGAATATGAATGGAAACTGTCGTGGGCTCCATTCCCTTGGGCATATTAAATTCTCCCTCAATCCCTGATACTAAATTATGGTTACTGAAAGTCTATGGGAAGGTTCCAAGAAGTTCTATATTAGATCACTCGATGCATGTTGATAGCATGATTTCTTCGTATTTAACTTGCTTTGGTTTTAAAGCAAGTCCCCAATAAAGACACAAAAAAAAAAAAAAAAAAAAAAAAGGGATGTTCAAGGATTAAAACGGAATAATTGAAAGTTGAGAACTAAAACACTTATTCAAAAGTTCAGGGACCTGTGAAACAAACATGAAATTACAAGGAACAAAATAGAATTTAAACCATTCATTATTCTTCATACATTAACTTAAACATTATTTATAAAATAATGTAATAAACTAAAATTTATCAATTGGTGAGCCAATAATATATTGTTTTTATTTGTTTAGTTTTTTTAGCCGAATATGAATTTGCTACATGAGAAAATATTATCTAGTTCAGTTTTAGTATTTCAGTACTTTTCCTTTGACTTCAACAGTTATAGGGTGAACAAAGATGAAATCGTCCACCCTTGAAATGGTAAGAAGAGAGCACTATCCACTAACCTCTGAGATTGTATTGCAGTACTTTCAAATACTTACTCAGTTATGCTGTCAAAAAAGTTAATTGTATGAATGGATTAATTTGTACTTACCAACAGAAGGAGAATCAGATCTTTCTCCATTAACCGCTGGTTGGCTGTTGATTGAAAGGAAACCTTTCATGTTAATTTTACCAAGCTGTTCGCTTATTATTCTTGTCTCAGCCTGAAGACCGTCTAATTCAGACCACGGACTGCTTCTCAACTTTCCAAGGCAGTACTTCATAAATTTCTGATATGAAACAGTATAATATATCTAGTCAATCGCTAACATTATAACAAACTTTCTGAACACTCTCGGTTAGGAAAAGTACCTCATAAACATCCTCTATGCTTTTCAATGGGAGAGCCCATTCCTCAAGAAGCTTCTTGTCACGTGCACGTGGCCGCATAAACTTAGGTGCAAAACAAAGCAAAAGTAACACTGATTAAACACACTAGAAACTATGTTAAAAGTGTTATAACAATATTCAAATAAATATTGAATGAAGTAAAGTTTGAATTTTCAGCTCTTTGAAGCGTTTGAGAAACATGAAAAAGAAATCATCTCACCAGCTTGCCTATAATAACTAAAGAAACAAACAAATTATCTGGGGGGAAATTCTACCAGAAGCTTTCAACAGGATTTATGACCGAATTTCTTTAAAATTAACATCTTGTCCTACAACAAGCTTCATTTGACTCAACAGAATTATATTTTGATAATGTTGTGGTGTCAGATGAATCAGACCAAGCCAAAGTAAATGATACATCATGCGGGAGAAATTTCTCAAAGCCTACTTTTAAGTCTCGAATTCATGCAGATCACAAAGAGTTAACAATTACAAGCTATGGTGATTAAAGAGGGAACGGAAGACTAAGTTTTCAGGCAGTCCACAAGAAATAATTCCAGATGTTAAAAGGAAATCTCCTCCGTACAGCTCTCTCTGTCTCTGTCTCTGTCTCCCTATCTCTCTAGAGTGTGTGTGTATATAACAAATATCAACATAGATCATTTACAAGTTCTAGTTTATTGTTCATACCTGATAGTCAGTTAGTGCCCCATATGAAGGATTACTAGAATCACTCCATCTACCATGAGGGTACTGGTCCCAACCTATGGTCCTTGATATGTAGCTTCTAGGACGATTAGCCCTGTGATCAACAACTACCTAGATCAGCTCGATCTCAAATTTAGCAAAATGTAAAACAATTTTATGCATCCATAATCATTAGGAATGCATCCTCATTTTGCAATAAGCATAAGAGATACCAGAAGATTGGGCGAACATCTTCCCTGATACGGAAAACATTTGTAGGACGCCTCCAAGGTAATGATCTTGAGACTTTGCTCTCTTCAATCAGACCAAGATTCTGCCATGAGTAGAGAAATGCACTTAGACTTAACCCCATAAAAACAGATTAAACTACAAGCCTCCAAAAAAGATTTAAAAAAAAAGAAAAAAAAAGATAAAAAATGATGTATAAAAAATGTAAAAGAACGAAATTCAAGTGCCATTATAATAGAAAAAGATGCCTAAGGCATCCAATCAACAAAAAAACTATCTCATGTTATAGTATTATCTACCCTATGTTTAAAAATATATGTATGTGTGCGTATCATGTTCCTCTGAGTATAAGGTAAGTGTATTAGCATTTCAGAACATACTTTTAATAGACTTATCATCAATTTACATTCAGAAGTTTTCATACTGAAAATTACTTTATGGCTCCTTACAAGTTTACTTCTAAAGGAAGATGCAGAGTCTCAGTTGTTCAAACAAAACATGAACCGAAGAGTAAGAATGGAAAGGAAGCCAAAATCAATAAAAGGAAACCCCTCACCGACACACCAGACTATAAGAATACATCAACAAAAGCTTCAGAAATTCCCCTGGTACCAGAGCATCCAATGACAAAATTACCCATAGAAACAATAATTGGAAGTAAAACTAGAATGCGATTAAGATACTTGAATATACCATTAGTATAGCCAATGCCGATTTCTCCATATTCAGTGTATACATGTGAAGAGTCTTGATTCCATGAGCCAAAATCTTCTTGCACATTTCAGTTCCAAGGTGAATTCCATAAGCTTTGACAGCTTCTTCGTTATCCTTGATTGGCTCTAAGGCAGCCATGACCTCATCCGGAATCTGCAAGTTTCCGAAAGTCATACATACAGGTAAAAGAGAAACAATTTAACATTACAGATAATATTAATATTTCTTTGGAGAAGAAAAGGCAAAATTTTGATGATCGCTGGTTGTAAATTTTTCTAGAGTGGACGCATTTAATTTAAATCAAGGCCATTAATAAAAAGATTAGAGAGAGGTTAGTACCTTCGTTTTGCAAAAGCTGGTCATGCGTAAGAAACCTTTGTAATTATTGATGGGCATAATACCAGGTACAATCGGACAAGTAATTCCAATTTGACGACAATCGTTAACAAACTTGAGGAAAATGTCAGTGTCATAGAAGAGTTGGGTAACAATCAGATCAGCCCCGGCATCAAACTGAAAAGAACCAAAGACAATATAGTAAATAACAGCAATCGAAGAAAAAAAGAAGAACAGACAAAATAGCATATAAAAAGTAATCCATGTAAGAACAGGGGAAGAGGAATTAAATTGCTTAAAGATTAGATTCACCTTTTTCTTAAGATAAGCCAGATCGCTCTGGTAGCCTTCAGTCGTCGCCACGCCATTGCTTCCAATCACGTCCGGATGTGCCTCTGAGAAGAACAGAATAGAATTAAGTATTAGCATTCCGTTAGTTACAGAAAAGAAAAGGCATTTGCAAGTAGATCTGTAACTTTCGATCAAAACAAAAAAAAGAAACCTGGATATCCAGCTACAGTAATGCCGAAGTAGTCACCATACTTCTCCCTGATGTGTTTAACCTACGAATAAGAAATGTAAGCATTTAGAGAGCAGAAACACAGAACAGAGAAAACGAAGATGGACGAAGCCATTGTAGAGTACAAGATCGAGAGCACAGGCGAAGCCGCCTTCGATCTGGACGAATTTATCCTGTCCATGAGGAGGATCACCGCGAAGCGCGAGGACATTCTGAAGGCCATTAGACTTAATAGTCTGAAGAGCATGGTCGATCTTCTCAACAGGCATATTGGTGCAGGTAAGATGCATCATGGTCTCGACACAGATCATGTTCTGCATCTTGTTAGCAATGTCGAGAGTGAGATCGGCGGTGGAGCCACCGGCGCCCCAAGTAATGTCACAGAAGGAAGGATTATGAGCCACCATCCGGTCCATCCTCTCGAAGAGGTTATCAACACCGTCCTCCGTCTTGGGCGGGAAGTACTCAAACGAGAACACAACTCTGCCGCCATCACCGGCGGTGGCTTCCGTGATCTTGTCAATCACCTTCATCTCCTCTTCCCTGTAGTGGCGTAGAAGCTACAGATCGGAAGCAGCAAGGGTGGCTGCGCGTGTGTTGGTGAGGAAATCAGCAATGTGAATGATATGGGGAGAATGGAAATTGAAGAGTGGGGAAGAGAGAAAAGAGGAAGCAAGGAGGAGATTGAGAGATTGGAGATCAGTGAAACAGAGAACGAGAAGGGAGATAGGAAATCACCTCTGGGCATTGTCGGTGAACATCTTTTAAACCTCATCCATCTCTCATTTCTATTTTTTATTTTCTGACTCATCATTTTTTAATTAATTTTTATTTTTTGAAAAAATGAGTCTACACTACACTTTATTGTACATTTCAATAATTAATGTAACAAAGCATAGGGTCATAGTAAATCAAAATTACCATGAAAAATAGCCGGATCTGAGATTAGATTGACTCCATCCAATTGGATTAAGTTATGAATGATCATGAATTTCGCATTCATTTTTTTTAATTATTAAAAAAAGAAAAAGAAAAAGAAAAAGAAAGTGGTAGAGAGGTAGGTGAGATGGTGAATGGTAGGAGAGAGAAGATGTGAATGTGAAGGGAGATTTGGTGGTAATGGTGGCTGTGGAGACAGATATGAGATTGGAGGACACCAAACCATCTACAATTTTGAGTGGGCCATGGAGCCTAAAAACTTTTATTTTATTTCCATTAATGCTCTTAATTTAAAAATAATAATAATAAATAAATAAATAAATATTAATAGATGCTATATGAATAGAAGAAGAGAAGGGTAGTAAATGTGTTACGAATGGATTAATAAGCAATGCCACTGAATGACATTAACAGGCAGAGGGAGAGAGCTACACAATCAATACACTTTACAACAGTTGGTATGATGAGGAATAGAAGACCGTTCAAAAATAATTCCAAAACTATACTAACCTAACCAAGTCGATTTGGGCGAGTCCTTATTCTTTTTTGTAATGTAAAAGAACAGTATTACATATCATACAACATTCTCACCAACAATACAATATCACAATCATCATCTTTTTTTACCCTTTTCCTTTCTACTTTTTTCAGATTTCAGGTTTCAATTAAGAGTCCAGCATCATCAGAAGAAGTTTTGCTTACTACAATGGCCTGAGAGAGGAACCCTTCTGCCCTTCCTTGCTTAGTTTCCCAAAAGGTAAGTGAATGTGTGTATTCATGTTGCTGATTCTCACGTTAATGCTGCACTCTGCATACCCTCTACAACTCTTATCACAGCCTTGCGAATTCCCAATCCTCTTTTGACATGTCAAGAAATTCTACATTGCCGTCTTCAAACATGATCTGCAACAATATCAAACAGACTACTATTGAACAGTTCTATGATATACAAGATCTAGAAAATAAGGTTAAACAAGTTAACTTACGGAGTGTTTTCTGGAATATTGATCAAATCTCTTTATAATACCAAAAGACCTGAAACATTTTTGAGGAAGTATTAAACGTCGAATATAATCTAATAATAAATTATGAATTGTATCCAGTACTAGAACAACAGATGCGATGCTACAATAGGGATTGGTACATACGGAATATTTTTTTTAAAACAAATTAATGAGAAATGATCATTTCATTGATAAATGAAATTTCAATAAGAGGAGGAAAAAATCCAAAACCCCCATGCCAAGAAAGTTATAAGATGGTCTCCCAGTTGGCACAAAAATCGTAATCTGTATGAATTTAAGGGAGCACAAAATTTACATCAAAAGAGACTAATAAGAAGGTGATCCAAGCATATCCAACACTAGAAGCCTGTTATTGAAGACCCTGTCATTACTTTTGAAGTGTTGCCTTCCACATAACCTCCTTTTTCGATCTCTTGGGTTTTTGAAGACCTTTGTTTGATAGAGAGGCTTTGGATGTGGTGGGTCTTTTTTTCTGTTCTTCGAGACGAACACATGATTCCAAGGAGAAGTAATGTTAGAATTTGGTCCCTAACACTCCTAGGGGCTTTTGTTGTCATTCGTTCTTTCACATTTAGTCTTCCCTTTGTCCCTCTCCAGCTTCCCCCGTTACCTCTTCGTTTGCTCTCTCTAGAAGGTTAAACTTGAGGCACATTTTATATGGGAAAGTTAACACCACAAATCACGTTAAAAAACACTCTTCCTTTGTTTTGTTCCCACAAGGGTGCTTCTCAACGGGAGACACGAGGTGGATCTAGATTATCTGGTTTAGGATTGACAAATTGCTCACTACCTTCGGAGTCATGGGATGAGATCATTTGGTGTTTGATGGGTTTGGCATAGAGACGATATGGCACAGGTGGAGAGGTGCTTTTGAATTCTACCAGAAGGGCATAGTTTTGTGGCAGACTAGTTTCTTTGGAATTTTGTGGGATATATGGAGGGTAAGAAATAATAGAATTTTTAGAGAGGTCGCGAGAGAGATCAAGTGAAAAGTTTGGGAGGTGGAAAGATTTTAATGCCTCTTTATGGGTGTCAGTTACAAGATTTTTTTTATTTTATTTATTTATTTATTTATTTATTTATTTGAATTAGGAGCTTAGCTTAGTTTTGCTCTTTTAAATTAGTGTAATGCTTTGTAGTTAGCGTCGAACTCCTTTTGTTGTTTGGCCTTGGTTTTTTTGTATGACTTGTATGAAGTCACCATATTTTGAATGTAACACTCCAAGCCCTAAGATTCTTTTAACGTTTTCTTAATCATACTTTCATATGCTCAAGATTCTTCTTCTCATTCAAATGTAGTCTTGGTTCGTATATCCTCCTTTACTCGGGTGTCACATGCCTACCAGTTTCTTCCTTCATCCATCATAGGATTACTCCAAGCCGAGCACACTTAATTTTGGAGCTCTTATGATTGAGTCATCAAAAAAAGAAAGATGCACTTTGTTGGTATATATAGTAACCATTAATCCTTTTCAACCTTTCTTCACTTGTATATTCTGAGAATCCCTCTCATCACATGTGGTTGGATTTATGTACCTCTCTTCTACTCGAGTGTCACATGTTCACTAGTTTTCACCTTGGTTCGTCCCCAAATAACATCTTACCAGGAGAGGTTATGCTTTGATACCATCTTTAATGATCCAAACCCACCCCAGACTCGAATCCAGATTCAGTATTCCTCTACATCCCCTACATCCCCTACAACCGGGCAATACCTACTTGTCTTGAACTATTTTTAGAGTGAAAATTGCCCCACAACCCACAACCTAGTTATTTTCAAAATGATTTGTCCATACTCACATGCTTCATTGAAAAATTCCTTGTGAATTCCTTGAAGCTTGAAGGTCAGTCACCCATGATGACGTAGGACTCCTCTAAGCCAAGCATCTGTAACGCTCTAGACCTGTGATTCAAACCAGGATTCGAACTTTGGTTTCTGAATCTGGAGCCTGAGGGGTTACAATTGGTATGAGTGTCTAAAGTTCTGGGTTTTGTAGACTTACTTACATAGTAAGCTTTAGGTGTCTTCATGGCCTATCAGCAAATATCGAGTCAATACTAGATATGCATTTGTATTTGTTTATTTTTGTTGAAGAAGGAAGCTATGATGGCAAAGCAGCTGAAGATTTCTTTTGAAACTAAAGAGGTTTGGCACTTGCTAGTAAACTTGTGGTTGAAGGTTTTGGATGGAACATAAATGAGAATCAAAACAACAATTGATGTATCGCTTGGTGGTCTATAAAAGTTATACAGTGATAAATAGGTTCACAGAATAAGATTAGGAAATGGAAGAGGAACGTCGTTTGGGAATGAAAAATGGTAGGGCAATAGATATGAAGAGTTAGTCTCAAAAGTTGGGTATGAAGAATTTGATAGAAGAGGTGATGTCTTGATGGAGAATAGTGTTGAGCATAATATATTAGAACAAGAAATCCTAGATCTGGGCGCATTGTCGAATTGGAGATGTTGGCAGATGTGAAGCCAACGAATAATGAAGATAAAGGACCGCAGACATAGAAAACTGCAGGATTTATTTCAAAAAAATCATTGTTCCTCAGTTTAACACGGGAAGTAGCCATAGGAAAATTTGAGGAAAATGTTTTGAAAAGCAAAGCTTCCAAAAAAGGTGAAATGCTTTTGTGATTTTGTTTCGAAGTATTGAGTATGGAAGAAAAATTGCAGAAGAGTCCAAAATTGGCTCTCCTTCCAAATTCATGTGCCTTGGTACAGTAAAAAGGGATATCAGCAGCATTTATTTTCTCACTGTCAAACATCAGAAAGATAACCGGAAGATAATCTAAGACTCATAAATGTTCAATGTCCGTTGCATAATTCAGTTGAGAAGAATGTATAGCATACTTTGTGTGTAAATGGTTTCAGAAGATAGATAAACTGAGAAAGACAGGTTCGTCCATTCTAATAAATCAGAATTGAGAGATGTTTTCTGCCAATCAGAGAAAATAAATTTTTCGAAGAAAAAGTTGAGTTGGGAGGACGTGATAAAGAAGTCTAGGTTCAATGTAGGTAATTGGTGCTCTTTACAAAAGCAATTATGTTATTAACAATGAAAACTATTTCTGAGCGTATTTTATGTAAGCTCCAATGGGTGATAAAGCTTTTTGTATACTATTTAACTAGATTAATAAGTTGTCTGAGTTACTGTTTCAGAAAAATAATAAGTACATAAACCAGTAAAATAATGCATGCATGTACGCTGACCTCACATTATTAACTCAATAAATAGCCACTTCCAACTTTAGTTCACTAAAGAACACAAACGCAAATCAACAAAAATAATTGGGAGCAATCACAAATATGATAGAAGAGTTAACGTACCTTCCACTGAAGGGGCGAGCAATCCAAATGACCTCACCAATGCAATTATAGGCGTGCACCACTTGCTGGCTGCGTGCCTGTTTTGAACTTCCTGAATAAGAAGTCAAATAGAAAACTTTTCTGATTACTTCATTGGCTTACAGAAGAAAGCTGTGGCATCCATCAGCACTAGATCCTACTAAAGTGGTCAGATAATAGTGGACTTACCTACATGCAAAGTTCCATTTCTGATAACCTGCCCACAAAATAAACTCAATTAGTTTCATCCCGTACAGTTACAGGAAATACATTGTGCAATTAAAAGAAAAAAATTGTAAGTGTGTATAGATATATATATATATATATCTAAGCAACAATGTAGCAGTCTCGAAATTAGCGAGGTAAGAATCCATTACTAAGAGAAGAAGGTGATAGAAGGAACTTAGGATGAGAAAGTTTGGAAAAAGAGGTCCAACAATATTCTGTTCAAGTTTGTCTTTATTTCACTTTATAGTTTATTTTGATATGTTGCACTTAAGAAAGAAACAGACACTCACCAAGGCAAGGCAAATGATTGACTTGGCTTCAGCGTATGCTGTTTAAAACTTAGCTAAAACAATGGTGGGACTCACATATTAAGTAAAAAGAACCTAACTCTTCGTCATTATTAAGTACTGTGTCCTCAAGCCCACACTCACTCCCTAAAACCGAAGGTTGTGACCATGCTTGACTTTTGGGATCATAAGCAGAACACCCTACATGGTATACCCAAATTTCTAAAAGCCACCTGCAAGGCTGCAACAGTTCTTTAAGACGTGACTATCATCCTATGAAATTTTTGCTGCTTTTTTAAACTGAAAAAGTTCTCTTTACAATATAATTCTACAGTTCTCTTTCTATAACTACTATTTCTTGTATTAAAAAAATCCATATCAGAAATTTTTATTGATGCAGTAACTTCAAAAAAGAAATACTTGAACCTTAATTTTTAACGTATATCATACATGTACTTCTAGTACTTGTTTGAAATGTTGAAATGCATCCCATGTATTTATAACGAAATTCCAAAAAGCTTTTACATTTATCATGCCACATTTCAGGAACACCTGCAGCAGCTCTTTTGAGGAATGACTGTCACCGCATGTTAATCTTTACATGGAACGTCTTACCAAAAAAAAAAATCTTTATATAAGGAGCCTCAACTATTTAAACTGAATGATAATAGTAATCACATACAAAAGCAACATATACAAAAAATATGTGCAAAAGAGGTAACATAGAGCACAGCTGTACTTACATCTCTTCCAGACAAGATTGCTTTCAGCTTAGGTGAAGATACAGCCACCTGGCAAGCTACAAGTTTCAACGCAGCATCCGAAGATATCTTTGGCTTCGTAGGTCTTACACCCAGCTTTCTTCTGCAGCCAACAGCACCACAATGACAATCTTGATCGGCACCAAACTGAACAAACCTGCTAAATTTATTAGCCAGGGACAAGCAGTACAGGAAATAAAACAGTAGATAATAGAGTAGATGCCACAATATTTCCATTATAGTAATCATATAAAACAAACATGTGACTAAAAGATTCATCATTTTCATAAAAGAATGCACGAAAAGTACTTTAGATATAGCATAGGTCAAGAGTTTAGCAAGCAACCATACTGATAATCATAAGTTAGATGCTCGCCCTTCTGTATGTCTTGAGTTGCAAATATGCCAATTCTCGTCTCTCCATCTATAATCCTTTAAAAGAACAATTCATATACAGCAATTACTCCAAAATAATCTCATATCAAGCAATAAAACACACACACCATTTACACATGCGAACCTGCTCAGACGTGAAAAAAGAGTGTGTTTATTTCAATATTTGTAAGTTTTTCAACATGCTGGTGACAAGTTAAGGACATGTTTAGGACATATTTGTACAAATATAACAAAAACAAATTATAGACCCTTCACTCAATTAAAAATTCCACTATCCAATGGAAAATGAAGATAATAGAAAAGCCCGCCTGAAAGATAAACAGATTAGCTCTCTAATTAGTCATTAAGCATTGTATTCCCCTTTGATGTTAAAATTTAGAAACAAATTTATTTTTCAGTATTCAATAATGTATGTAAAAAACATGAAAACAAAAAACCTAATGTGTCCCACCCAACATGTCATGTCCCCTAAACAAGTTGACACGTTGTTACCTACATGTCATGTCGCATCAATATCAAATGTCCATGACGTGCCATATGTTTGCCACGTATCCATGCTCTTTAAATTTCAAAAATATAACACGATATAAATTGGAAAGTTGAAGGATCGGGGCAATACCATTTTTGCATCTCCGTATTGGGACAACAACTATGATTTATATATCTCGACTTATTACCCTTGTATGTGGCATCAATTACCATATCTCGATTGATCTCGCATAGATAGAAGTTTGTCTCTCCACGATGCTTCATGTTCCATAGCCTTTCTTCACATGTTTTGTCATCAATTACTGCATGATTAATAAGTGCACCCATTATGTCTTAAAAGTAGTGCATCACATTACATTATGCAAAAAATCATAAAATTCAAAAATTAAATAAAGAGAAACATTACCTTCGCCTACATATTCTATTACAAACTCTCCATGTTTGATATCTTCATCAGCTACAATCCCAGAACCGCATTTCTCAGTCTACAAGGTATAGCTTAATTTAACTGGCCATTTCAACTTAACATAAATCATGAAATAATTCCCTGTGCATTTATCTTACGAAATAATTCCCTGCAAGGTTAAAACAAGACCAGAAAAAAAAATGCAGTGTTTTCACACCTTACTAATTACATTCTGGTGTAGAGAACAATTACTGAATACCGATGGTAAAAAAAATATTAGATACTCATCTAGTTGAAGTCACCTCCTATTGCATTTAGTTGAGATGCAAATCGATTATTATAACTGGAATCCAACAGGTCGAAATATAACAAGCTACTCTAGATATATCCAGCCTTAAAACCACGATCAACAAGTAAAATCTTCCCTCCCTGACTTCATAAATTTTCTTGTCTTTGGGACTGCCTAATAGGCATTGTTAGGTTTATGCTGTTAATAAATATAGGTGTTTATAGCTTGGAGTTGGGTAGCTTGGTTTTGTCTAACCAAATTAACTTGTTAAATGGTACAGACAAATGACTTGCTGATGCTTTTTTATGTATATGAAACGTGACTTGCATTGTATACAAAGCAATACAAAACGACAATGAGATATCCACACCAAGGAGAGATTTTCAATTGGCAAAAAAGGTGCTATAAGTTAAGATTAAAAAATGCTTTGGGCATCAAACAGCAACTTAGATAGTTGGTTCGAAACCAAACACCCCATTTACAAATAAAACTAAATACATCCTACAAAAACAACAACAAAAAAAAAAAAAAAAAAAAAAA